AGGGTGGAATAGGGAGAGAGAAAGAAGCTGGAAGAGGGAAAGAAAGGGAGACAAAAAGGCAAGACGTAAATAGTATTAGTAATTGCTGCAATGTATATAATTATCAATTAATGGAAGCAAAAGTATAGAAGAAATATACAGAGTTAAAATTGGAGAGGGGAAGTAGATCTTTTAGACCCAGGAAACCGAGCTGAATCATGGATCCCAAGGTTGCAATATTCTGACTTAGTCCTTATGTATTTCTTGAGGGTTACATTGACAACCTACCAGTGATTTTCAGTGGCACCCTTGCTGCATTTCCAGGTGGCCAAAGTTTGTTTGTTTTTTTTTTGGCCAGCTCCTCCTAATTCTGTCCCACCTCAAGGCTCTTTTTCTCTAACCTCGAGACACTCAGCACCCTCACACTGAACTCTGGCTTGCCAGAAACCTTTTGATATTCCCCACCAATCCTTTCTCTTCTTTCCATCCATCCCTAAATCAAGTCATAATCCTATATTGCAGAAGGAGGTAGTTGGCCTAATTATCTGATTAAAATAATCAGATAGAAATAAGTCTTAATTTCTGTCCAAAAGATATACTTTTAAAGGAGGAGGTTGTTAGCTCTAGTGTATCTCTATGTGTATTTTCTGGTTCTTAAGTAAGTGGCTTTTCATCAGATTCCCAGAGGAACCCATTCACAGAGCAATTGAAACACATTAATCAAACTAGAATAAATGCATATGGGAACTATTTTTGACTGGGGTACATATGTGAGTTCCTGGTCTACTTGGATGAACCCTCATATACTACTCCCAGCAATCATTAATCTTAAACCTTCCTCCTCCTCCAGCCCCAATTTCCTTCTCACTTTTACAAACAACATAACTCACAATAGAATAAGGTACTGCTTTGGGAGAGTGAAGGGCAGAAACACAGTGAACAAGTGCAGGTTCCAAGAGCCAGACAATCTTACACAAGGAATATAAAATAAATTAAAATAATAACATAAAATTATGAAATGAAATAAAAGTTATATGTACAGAAATATATTAATTTTAATTAAAAAGTTCAAGTATAGAAAAGTTGCAAGAACAATACAATGAACTACCATATACCCTTTACCTAGATTTATCAATTTAACATTTGGCCACATTTGCCATATCTTTGCTAAACCATCTGACAGCAAGTTGCATATATCAAAACTTTTATCTCGAAATACTTCTGTGTGTATCTCTTAATAAGGGTACCCTTTTCCATAACCACAAAACAATTAAAAAATTCAAAATGCTTAACATTTAAATAATGTTCTTCAGTCCTATGTTGAGTCCAACACTTTGTGACTCCGTGGACGACAGCATACCAGGCTTCACTGTTCTTCACTGTCTCCTAGAGTTTGCTCAAACTCATGTCCACTGAGTCAGTGATGCCACCCAACCTTCATCCTCTGTCCCCCACTTCTCCTCTTGCCCTCAATCTTTTCCAGCATCAGAGTCTTTTCCAATGAGTTGGCTCCAAACATCAGGTGGCCAGAGTTTTGGAGCTTCAGCTTCAGCATCAGTCCTTCCAATGAATAGTCTGGGCTCATTTCCTGTAGGACTGACTTGTTTGATCTCCTTGCAGTCTAAGGGATTCTCAAGAGTCTTCTCCAGCACCACAATTCGAAAGCATCAGTTCTTCAGCATTTGTCTTCTTTATGGTCCAACGCTCACATCCATACATGACTATGGGAAAACCATAGCTTTGACTATATGGATCTTTGTGGATAAAGTGATGTTTCTCCTTCTTAATATGCTGTCTATGCTTGTTAAATAATATTTAAATAATACTATTATCTAATATGTGATCCCTATGAAATTTTAACAGTTGTCCTGAAAATATTCCTAACACTATTCTCCCAATCCAGGGTCACACATTGCCTTTGGTGACATGTCTCTTTAATCTCTTAAACCTAAAACAGTTCCACAGTCTTTCAGGACACTGATTCAGGCCAGTGGTTAGATAGACTATTTCTCAATTCACATTTTCTTCTGATAGTTTCTTTGTGATTATTTTCAGAACATGTATCTTTGACAGGAATACTACAAAAGAAATGCTGTATCCTTCTCAGTACCTCACATCCAAGAGGTACATCATGTCATTTTATTCCATTAATTGTTAATTGTGACATTAACTTTGATCTTTTAGTTATGGTGCTGTCTGTCAGATTTCTCCACCATGGAAGTACTGTTTTTATCCATTTGTAATGAATAAGAAATCTGAAGATGCTTTCAGACTGTGTAAATATCATGTTCCCCAGCAAATTTGCACCCAATGATTTTAAAATCTATTGATAATTCTATCTGAATCAATTAGTAGTATAATGGTTGCAAAATGGTGATTTTCTAATTTCATCATTTCTTCTACGTGTATTAGTTGACATTTCACTATCAAGAAAAATAGCCATTTCTCCCCCTTTTATACTTATTTAACATTGTAAGAGACAAATTGCTAACATCTGTTGGATCGTCAAAAAAGCAAGAGAATTCCAGAAAAACATCTACTTCTGCTTTATTGACTACGCCAAAGCCTGTGACTGTGTAGATCACAACAAACTGTGGAAAATTCTTAAAGAGATGGGACTACCAGACCACCTTACCTGCCTCCTGTATGCAGGAGTAAAAGCAACATCAGTATGCAGGTCAAGAAGCAACAGTTAGAACTGGACATGGAACAACAGACTGGTTCCAAATCAGGAAAAGAGTGTATCAAGGCTGTATATTGTCACCCTGCTTATTTACCTTATATGCAGAGAAACATGGAGAAATATCAATTATGCAAAATGCCAGGCTGGATGAAGCACAAGCTGGAATCAAGATTGCCAGGAGAAATATCAATAACTTCAGATATGCAGATGACACCACCCTTATGGCAGAAAGTGAAGAAGAACTAAAGAGCCTCTTGATGAAAGTGAAAAGAGGAGAGTGAAAAAGTTGGCTTAAAATTCAACATCCAGAAAATTAAGATCATGGCATCCAGTCCCATCCCTTCATGGCAAATAGATAGGGAAACAGTGGAAACAGCATTTATTTATAATAAACAGATTTTATTTTGGGGGGCTCAAAAATCAATGCAGATAGTTAACTACAGCCATGAAATTAAAAGACACTTGCTTCTTGGAAGAAAAGCTATGACCAACCTAGACAGCATATTAAAAAGCAGAGACATTACTTTGCCAACAAAGGTCCATCTAGTCAAAGTTATGGTTTTTCCAGTAGTCCTGTATGGATGTGAGAGTTGGACTATAAAGAAAGCTGAGTGCTGAAGAATTGATGCTTTTGAACTGTGGTGTTGGAGAAGACTCTTGACAGTCCCTTTGGACTGCAAGGAGATCCAACCAGTCAATCGCAAAGAAAATCAGTCCTGACTAGTCATTGGAAGGACTGATGTTGAAGTTGAAACTCCAATACTTTGGCTGCCTGATGTGAAAAACTGACTCATTGGAAAAGACCTTGATGCTGGGAAAGATTAAAGGCAGGAGGAGAAGGGGATGACAGAGGATGAAATGGTTGGATGGCATCACTGACTCAATGGACCTGAGTTTGAGTAAGCTCTGGGAGTTGGTGATGGACAGACAAGCTTGGTGGGGTCGCAAAGAGTCAGATACGACTGAATGACTGAACTGAGATGAAACACTGTAAGAATAAGTAAGCACCTGTGGATTGCTTTTTTAAAATTCATTGTTATAGTCCATTTCCATCAGTATTCATTCATGATGCTCAAATTGTCCCAGATGGGTAAGTGAAGGTAACTTCAAATAGGCTCCTGTTTCCTTTTCACATGTCCACATTCTTTGAAAATCTTGCTTTCTGGGACAAGACCTTTCAAGTGCATTTTATACTTTCCCTCTCTGTCTGGGAATAAAGCCATTTCTCCAGAGTCTGTTTCCTTTTATTCAAAATATTAAAATAACGCTGTACCTGTTTCCCTGGGTCAGCATATGAAAGATCGGTGTGGTGATTTGCTATCCTAACTTTAGCATTACCAGTGTGACTTTGGCAATTTCCTTCGTTCCCAAGGGGTTGATTCCTCATCTGAAAAGAAACTGGATTAGGTAAGTATTTCTTAAGCTTTTCGCGGTCACCAACACATTAAAAAGCTATATTCCCATCTTCCCAGAGGCAAGCTCAAAGAAGCATTAAAAAATTGCACACATTTTAGGAGTCTCGAGCCCCAAAGCCCATTTGAGGCTCTAAATCCCTGGATTAGGTGATCTCCAAGGCCTACTTTACCGCTGATATACTGTTGAGTGTATAATGGTCCGTGCGGGTGTCAGAATGAACGCGAAGAGACATCAAATTTGGAGGGATTTATATAGAAACAGATGAGAAAAAGATACAAAGAAAGGAGCCTGTGAGCAATGCATTGCTCAGCCAGAGTTCTTCGCCCGTGCCAAATTTAGGAAGAACAGTAGTCATAGGTGAGAGGTTTTGGCGGGAAGGTCCCCCTGGTGGGCGGGGAACGCCGGGGCCTGGGAAGCAGACGCCCGGGGCGGGGGAAGAAGACCCAGGGCCAGCCCCAGTCGCTGCAGCCCTCCGCGCCGTCCACCAGGGCTCGCTCTTACCCTTCGTCAGGGTGGCCGAGGAGCGGGGCGGGCCAGGCGGCTACCCCGCCCCGCTCCTCAGCGAGGCGGCCGCGAGCTCGGAGGGCGCAGGAGCCCGGAAGGAACGCGCCGTCCAGGCCCCGCCCAGCCGCCCTCCCTCGCGGCCGCCCGCCGCCGACGTCGGCGGGGCTCCGGTCGCCATGGTGACCAATCGAGGCCCGGTCCCGCCCCCGCCCCTCTGTCCCGGCCCCCTGACGTCGGCGCACGTCAGCGGCGGCGCGCGCCTGGCTGGGCCCTGCGGAGCGGGAGGGACGGAGCGCAGGAGAGAGCGAAGCCGCCGTCGCCCGAGCGGAGCCGCGCAGCCAGCCCGCCCGCCCGCCAGTCCGCCCGCCAGCCGGCCAGTCCGCGCTCCAGTCCGCCGTGCCTCGTAGCGGGGCCCAGCATGGTCATGGCGGATGGCCCGAGGCACTTGCAGCGCGGGCCGGTCCGGGTGGGGTTCTACGAAATCGAGGGCACGCTGGGCAAGGGCAACTTCGCCGTGGTGAAGCTGGGGCGACACCGGATCACCAGGACGGAGGTGCGGCCCGGGGCTCGGCGGGAGCGTCCGAGGCGAGGGTTCGGGAGACGAGCTATTGACCAAGAGGGGCGGCTGCCGCGGGGGGCCTGGGCAGCTCCGAGAGGCCGGGTCACCGGCTCAGACGAGAGGGCCTGGGAGTGTGAGGACCCGGGGAGCTCCAGGGGTCGGCGAGCGCCACGGGGACCGGTGCCGCGTCGCCCGGACCCGGGTGTCGTCCGATTTGGAGAGCCGGGCCGCCAGGCGCTTTGCCTTCTCTGGGCCACCCCTGGGGGCCCCCCGGAATTTCGCCCAAAGCCTCGCACCCGTGGCCGTGACCTGGTCTGTGGGCCTCCACTCCGGAGCCCAAGTTCCGCGTCTTCCCGGCTTTCAGCTGGGGGTGGGGTGGGAGGGGAAGTCTCCGCGCTCCTGGGCTGCGCGGTGAGAGGCGTCGCCAGCCCGGCCGAGGGGACCGCCTGCGCCCCGACGCCCCGGACGGGGCTCCGCGAGGCTCCGGGGGAACCGCGCCGCCCCCTCCCCGGCCGCTCGAGGAAGGGGGGCCCCGAGGGCCGGGAATGCCCGGAGCGCCACGGTTCCACCTTCTCTCCGCTCCTGGTGCTAGACAGTATCTCTGACCTAGTGTCAGGCTCGCTGGATCTCGTGCCTGAGGCATTTCCACCTTAGTACTCCAGACAATAGAGCCGGTTTAAAACGGTCATCTGGACATTGGCGCAGTTGGTGGGGTTGGCCTTTCTTATGCTAGGTGATTTCTTTACCAGGTGTGCGTTCTGGCGGTGAATACGCGTTCCTTAAGCCGCGTCAGATTCTACCTGTCTATTCTAAAAGCCCTCGGCTGCTTCCTGACGGGGAAGCGAGCATCTCCCCCCCACCCTCCATCGCACATTCTCACGCACCGCACATATTTTCTCGCAAGTCTCTGTTCTTACCTAACCCGCCTCCCCTTCCTTTCACCGCCTCAAGCTGCTCTCCTCAGGGTCTCTATTTTAAGACGTGCAAATTAAATACTTTAGAAAAACGGTAGAAACAAAACCATTCTTTAGAATAAAACCGTGTTTTTGACGTACTCTACTCTGCCTCGTTGTAGTTGTTCTTTTTTTTCTTTTTTCCCTTTCCACTTTTCATCCGGTTCAGCGTTTCTCCTTTTTAGTGCGAAGGTACCAGAGTTTGGATATGAAATAGCAGGATTCTTTTTCAGAATGGCTGTGTAAGGTGAAGGGCATCGGAAAACTTGAGTGATTTTTGTAGCTGTTGTTCTTAGAAGTTTTGCTTACTGTGAAGAAGTCCGTTTCCAAAAAGAAGGGGCATATGTCATTGTGTCATCCTCATTTTTCGTCTTGCCCTGCTGATCCTGACTGAGGCAGCCGAATTCCGACCATTTTTTTTGGGGGGGGGGGGGGTTAGCATCAGGGCCAAGGTCACAAATTTTCCTCTCACAAGTTTACCAGAGTTAGCAATTTAAGTTTTTAATGTAAATAATGTGACTGTAGTGAGATTACTTAATCTGATCCCAGTATTTTTTAAAACGAAGAAATTGATTGCATTCCTCTAAAGAAACATGGCTTAATACCATGCTGTTTGCCCTTTAGTTACATGAAAAGAAGACATTTTTAATGTGTATTTTTGTATAAGTCCTTGCTTAATGACTCCAGAAACTAAACAGATTTCATAGTTAAGAAGAGCTTCTACAGAACTTTTGAACTGTTATTGTTTAGTGGTTGAATTCCAAGCCCATCAGCTCATATTATTTTTTTCTCATCAGTTCTTATCATTGTTAGTTGAAAGATTTGTCAGCTGTTACTTATTAGCATATAGTATATATTAGTATATAGTATCTATTTAAGAATTAAGTAGAGCTATAAGTGACTGACACTTTTTCTTGAGGTTGTCATCTCAAACCGTGTTACTTTTAAACTGATCTCTCTTGTAGAGCTAGGGGGCAGTGTGGAGTAGTATCATGGTTTGGCTATCGGTGAGATCAAGGCATTTGTAATTGAAGGCACAGGTCAGATCAAGAAAGAGCACTCAGATCCTGAACTGTGTGCGTGGTTTACATTTGTAAAATCATTTCACGTAGAAGCTCAGATCCTGAACTGTGTGCATAGTTTACATTTGTAAAATCATTTCAGATAAAAGCTAACTTTCTAGTCCATAGAACCCATCTACTGTTGCTTTTTCTAAAGAGGGTGTTCTTAACATATAAAAAGAATCAAGTGTGAAGTTTAAGATGGGTGAGTATGAGTGTGGTAATTTGGTGTAACTGGAGGTGTTACAGATGAGAGGAGTGAGGGAAACAGCAAGGCATTAATGAAGAGAAAAGTTCCTGTAAATCTCAAGTTTTATAAAGTTACTCTGTGAACTTTTGTGGTAATTTGTCTTAAGAATTATTTAGCATAGATAACAGTTGTTTCTTACTGTAGTATGCTATTTGTTAATGAGGATTTTTAAAGCAGTATTTGTTGTTTTTATTCACTGAATGTTTATCTTTGGTAAGCACAATAACTTCCTCAGATATTATAACATGGATAGTAGAAACTTTAAAGCGCTATTTAATATCGTTTGAGTTTCTCATCGCTGAACATACTAATTACAGCAAGAACACTTAATATGGCATAAAGAACAATATTGGCAAAATATCATGATTATACTTACTGCTTAGAAAAGTTTCTTCAATATAGTATGCACTATCATCAGTGTAAGTTTGTGTGTTTTAAAATGTAGAAGTCTTTTTTCCGAAGTTTGAACATCAGGCAATTTTTAGGGTTTAGTTTAAATATTTAAGTAATGAGCAGTTGGGGCCACCCCTTTTTTAACTGACTTTTCTCTGTCTCTTGTTTCGGATCTCCAAAATGATGTATTTTTACAGAGCTTGGGATATCCAAGACTGTTTGCTTTTTAGGTGGAATAAAAAAATCAGTTGACAAGAGAGATCTTCATTTTGGTCTAATCTATCAAATAGCTTGACATTGTTTAAGAAATACAATTGCATCATCATCTGAAGCAGTGTTCTCATGTTAGATCTCTGTGTAAATTTTACACACAAAAGGGAAGGCAGGTGGTGGTAGAACCCAGCTTCTTAGTATAATACTTCATAAAAGCTTTGTAGTATTGGTTTGTAATTTATGAATTAGAGTAGCTAATTTTATCAAATTAGCATAATGGAAAAGAATAGTAGCATTTAGACTATTAAACTATTTTAGGCAGTCATGGTTGCTAGTTTGCTATGCTTTGAGTGTCCTTGAGAAGTGTATTTTATTAATACTGCCCTAGTGAAGAACTTTTTCCTTCTAACTAAGCGTATGACTAGTTTTTTGTTGTCTTTTATTGGCCATCAAGAAAGATTTCAGAAAAGTCATTTGTGCCCTTAAATATTTTTGTCTCGTACTGTTAAATGAATATAATCTTACTCTAGAAAATATAAAGAATATAGTACACAAAAAAGTACATGTGTAATTCCTCCCTCAATAGAAATAAATCATTAACATTATGGCATATTTCCCTCTAGTCTTTTTTTAATGCATTTTTTCCATAGATGACATCACATGGTAGGTACACTTACATAAACTGTGTCCTTTTTTCCACTTACCATTATAGCCTCAACATTTTGCTTCTTATGTATAACTTTATTAAACATCTTAACATTTACTTTTTTCTTTCTTTTTGACTGTGCTGGATCTTCATTGCTGCACAGGCTCTCTCGGTTTGCAGGGAGCAGGGGCGCCTGTCTAGTTGCAGCGTGTGGGCCTCTCATTGCGGTGGCTTCCCTCACTGCGGAGTGCAGGCTCCGGGGCGTGGGGGCTTTAGCAGTCGCAGCACACGTAGTCAGCAGGTGCAGGTCCCAGGCTCTCTAGCACAGGCTCCAGAGTTGTTGCACCCTGGCTTAGTTGCTCCGCGGCATGAGGGATCTTCCGGGATCAGGGATCGAACCTGTGTCTCCTTTGTTGGCACTTCATTGGCTTCATCACCGAGCCACCAGGGAAGCCCCTTAAACTTGTTTAATAGCTGCATAGTGTCCTTCCTTGTAGATGAATCCTGTTTTACTTAACAGTTTTCTTATTTACCATTATACAGGTTTCAGTTTTCATTTATAAGAAATAATTTGCAGTGTATTTTTATGTATATAACTCTGTATCTGCATTCTCAGTTATTTTAGGAAGGAGTGATTGGAGGTAAATTCCTAGAAGGGAAATTACCAAATGAGAAGGTATTATTTTTACATTAAAAAATAATGTATTTCTGTTATCAAATCTATCATATTTATTATCAAACATTTTAAGAAGTGTAGCTAAATAAAAAGAATAAACCATAATATTATCACCCAAAGATAACCATCATTAGTTATTTTCAGACCATTTCTGTAATAGGTAATTGTTTTCCTCAATACCATACTGGGGAAGGCAATGGCACCCTTCTCCAGTACTCTTGCGTGGAAAATCCCATGGACGGAGGAGCCTGGTAGGCTAAGAGTTGGACACTACTGAGCGACTTCGCTTTCATTTTTCCTTTCATGCATTGGAGAAGGAAATGGCAACCCACTCCAGTGTTCTTGCCTGGAGAATCCCAGGGATGGGCGAGCCTGGTGGGCTGCCGTCTATGGGGTCACACAGAGTCAGACATGAATGAAGTGACTTAGCAACAGCGGCAGCAATACCATGCCTCTTGTTTTGCTTGGCTAAAGAGCCTTTAAATGTGTGGTCCATGGAATCCTAAATATATTTCATACAGGTTCTGAAAATTACTTTATTGAAATGGCATGCAGGTATTACTTACTTTAAAAATCTGGAATATAGAAGTGATAGCAAGGACATTGGAAAACTGCTTTTTTTCACTGAAAACAATTCTTTGTGTGCTTGGGGGCTTTTATATTTAGGCATAATTTGTAGACTAAGTACTACCTTAAAATGTAAGTATTTTTAAAGCTTTCCAAATAGTTAAAATACAAAATTGCATTTTTAGAGCAAAGGTAGAAACAAGAGAAGAGCATATTACTCCCTGATTATGGAATT